TTTAAGCCCATTTTGAATACGGGATTATACTCAACCAGCCACACAATCAAGTAAATAATCCAGACGATATTTCATCAAAGATATTTAATCAAAGCACAAGGATAAATATCGCTTTAAAGAAATTAAAAGTATTTAAAAATAGAATTATACGCGGGAGGATGGATGTACATATACAGAAAAATATATATAGGGAGGGCTTTTCCATTGCTCGTTGAACTTTGTTTTCAATAACTCGTTTTTTCTATTTTTTTTTTTTTTTTTTTTTTTTTTTTTTTGTCGGCTATGTGGCCTATTGATGCCGCCTTGTGAAAAACAACACAGCGGGAATTTTTCCATTCAGTTCAGTGACTGCAAAGCTGCCCATTTTTTTTAGGGGAGAAGCGCAAAAACGATAAGATGTTCGCTGATCATCCTTAAAATCTCTCGAGTTTAATTAGCGTCAGATGATGAGATATACGTAATGGTTTACAAATTTCTTTGTCTCTACATTAATTGTTCGTTTGTCGGGAAGATTTTAGTAGCGACAGTTAAGTAGCACTGATCCGACAGAATTTTGTTAGCTTTCAAACGTTGTTGAAACGTTTAAGATAATCTCGCATCGAGATACCCTGGAGGCACGTGCACACGAAATCAAAAGAAATTTCCCGCCCTACAACCTAACTAAGGAAAAATAATCAAATAAAATCTTTTAAAGGCTTCATAATCAGTCAAATCGGAAGATGGGAATCATTCTCGCCCACAACTACAAGATAATTTAGAAAAAAACAGATTATTAAGCTGAAAATATTCACTAACCGGCTCTTTGGCCACACCCACAACTAAAAAAGAAAAATTCTATTTTTTATGCATATGTCAAGCTTTGCGCTCCAAGACAAATATAATTTTTCTTAATTCATTTTCATTTATTAAATAAATTTGTTAAGAGATGAATAGATCCGGTTTTCAAACGTTAATATTAAGTATAAAAATAATAATAACAAAAAATTACTTAAAAAGGAAAAGCTACTAAACTAAACCACCATCTTCACCATAAACACCACTCTCTGAACCCTTCTATATACAACCATATATATCCATATATATATATATATACTTTGCATATAAATATATATATATATATATATATATATATAAAGTATATATATATAAAGTTACATATATATACAAAGACGAATTATTATTAATCACAACAATTGCTACTCACCCGATTTTAGTAGAGTTTAAATAATATTTAATAAATTAGTGATAAATAATAAAACAACTAATTAATATTTTTTTCTATTTTTTTTTTTTTTTAAATCAAGAAAAAGTGTGTGTATTTGAATATGCTGTGTGTTGTGTTTCCAGATGTTTTTGTTTTGTTTGTTTGTCCTGAAACTAAAGAAAATTAATTTATGATGAACTTTGCGTTGCGTTGCGTTGGTAATTGTGAAGAAGCTTATCTACGGATTTCTCCTACTATCTCTTTTAAACATATTCTTTCATTCTCTCGTCTCTCCTTTTCTCTCTCTCTCTCTCTCTTTCTTTCTTTCTTTCTTTCTCTCTCCCCTCCGTCCACCCGCTATCGCACTTTTCTTATTCTTCCTCTCTGTGTGCTCCTACCGCTTTGTTGTGTGTGGCATCGGCGTTGTTAGCTTTTTCTCTTCTTAACCTTCTTTTTATATAATTCTATAAGATGCAGCCCTACCCCTCTCCATTATTATTATAAAACTAGAAACTTAAGAACATATTTAGTCCACAAAAAATATGTTTATATGCATCTTTAACTTTACTAATGGTTCTCGTATTGTTGTTATCATTGCAGTTAATCGTTGCTCCAAATGTCTCTCGACAACTTTCGTGATAACTTGCTTTTTGGAAATTCGATTTTGGTTTTAAACAGGAGTCCTTCTTAATTCTTTGATTCCATAATGGCTTACTAAAGGAGGGATCATACTATTAGCCATTACCGGCAGAAAAGTAAAGTTCAGAAAAGTTCATTTATGTTTTCGAAACAACTAAAGTATATCGTCTGGCCTCTTTTGTGTCCACAGTATAACATTTTGAATATACGAAATTTCCAAAAAAAAAAAAAACCTATATATAAACATTCTAAAATGATGTCCGTGAATCCATATTATCAAAAAATATGGATACATTGCCTACTATACTATATATAATGCGGTGACCAAAAAGTAAGACCAATCAATATAAAGTTAAATAACACGAAATATTGATTTTCTAAATAAATAGACATCGGTGTCTATGATGTTATAAACATCATCGAACTTGCCAAGATTGAAAGAAACCGACCCAAACTCACTCAAAAATTAAGTTGATGTTAACGGTTTTTTTTCGATTATCATGGTGTTGTTGTGTTATGAACTAAGAACACCCTCCGCTGAGCTAAACTACTAAAGGAATATTAGTTGGGTCTGATATTTACTTTGCGTATGATGAAATAGATATAGAAAAGGACAAGTTAAATTTGTCTTATTTTTTGGACACAGTAGTTAATACTACATTAATAATACTCGATCTGCGGTAAACTGTATAAATTCAAATCTAGCTGTAACTGTCTTTTTGCCCAAATTTTTCGATTTGTCACATAACTGTTTAATAGGATCCTTTTTGTTTTTCTCCTTTTTATTTTTTTATTGTTTAAGATCAGTCGCTTAGGACATGTCCCAAGGATGCTAAGTATGCCAGTCGTGGGTATAGGTTATAGATAGAAAAGTTAGGAGAAAAACGGAGGAGTAATGCTTAATAATGTAAGAATGTGAGAACAGGCGACAAAAAATATCTCTACAGACAAATTGTTCATAGAGCGGGAGCAGCAGCAGTAGCAGTGCGTTTAAAGAATGAGCGATTGCTGGTCTGCAAGCAGGTTTATGATTTTGCTTTGGTTTAAAATACCACAAAGCAGTTTCTGCTTGTACCGGTGCTGGCGCATTTCAGTATTTTATATGCAGCAGAGCAGTCCACTGCAACGCTGACGTATCCTCCAATTTTCGCACAGATCGTTATCGTATATGGCATTACAATTTATTTGTGGTCGCGTAAAAAAAAACAAAGATTCGATTTCAATATAAGCGCTAAAGAACAAAATAAGAGGAGGAAGAACAAGAAAACTTGATTGTATATCACCATACGGGACCCGTCAATTCAATTCAAAAGGACCAAGGTTCGATTAAATCACTTGATATAGAGAGACTCGGACGAATATTTTGAAACGACAGAGGTGAACAGCTTATGGAATAGGTTTTGGGGCAAAAGTAATAGCTCGCGTTAAGTGAATAGAAGTTAATGGTGTAAGAATTAGTATCATTTCTAAAGCAAATATTGATGGAACAGAGGAAGTTATTAAAAACATTATCAAAATGTTTCCAATTTCTAAAAAGTTTTTTTCAAATATTATCATGAACTATTTAGTATTTCTTTTAAGCGGCTTTCTACTACTTTTTTCTACTGCTTAATTTGTTAATCTGATAAAAAAAGCGTCTGTTCAATTGTTTTGTAAGTTTTTGAAAAAAAAAAAAAAATCTCAACGGGAAGTTGTTTTTTTCTCTGCCCGCAAAAAAACTTTTTTTTTTAATTTTTTTTTTTAGCAAAAACGGGTCATAATGGATTTGCTCACAAAACAAGTTAAAAAAAAGTAAGCAACTTTTTTGTATTTTTTTTTTTTTCTTTTAAAAATCAAAAATTCACATCATTGTACAAGAAAATATTTTTTTTTTACTTTTTTTTTACAACAGCGAAGCATAACAAAATTTTTTTTGACCCTTTGAAGATAAACGTGAAAGGAGGTGAGAATTTTTTTTTAAGTATTTTTTTTTTTTTTCTTAAAAATCAAAAAATAAATATTTTCGTTTTTTTTTTTTTTTTTTTTTTTTTTTTTTTTGTTGAAAACACACACCAACTTTTTTTCAAAACTGTTCAGTCAGTTAACATAACAGATGTGAAAATGTTGAACTATATATATCAAAGCAATAAAAAAAAAAAATAATAATTATAGAAAACTATAAATACGTCTGCAATAATACATAAATATGTTTATATATACATATATATAAAAAATAATATTTTATTTTATTAATTTTAAAAATAATTTTTATGATTTTTGTTTTTTATTTTAAATTAATTTAGTACGCTACACCACTCTAGTACTTACTTGGAATATAGCAGAAAAGATTTCACATGAGCTATTTATCATAAATTGTTGAAACATAAATTTGTGTCTGTTTGTCTCGAAGTAAAAAAAATGTCAGGGAGGAGGGGACAAAAGTATTAAATTTTCGCAAATTTTAAATACTTCTAAAGAAAGCACTTGCTGCACTGACATGGCTTTTGAGAAATATTTTTCAAAGGCTTTATACACTTAAGTATAAGATATATTCGATTAGGATAACAATCGAACGGGCATGGCTAAATGAACTCGGAATTTATTAGTTCACATTGAGAAAGTTATTTTGTCTTTGTGTATGTGTTTTGGGATCCGCGTATCTCAGAATGCTCACAACATAGTAGATGACGATTCGAACTGTCTCGCTCTCTCTCTCTCTCTCTCTCTCTCTCTCCCCCTCTCTTTCTCTAAAGTTTAGAGATGGTATAGGAGACGAGAGATTTCGGGTGAAAGTCCGTGGAAGAGTAGAAATCGATTATAGGCATTTTTTTTTTTTTTTTTTTTTAATATAGAGTGCACTTGTTCAGGTCTCTGGAAGTATAGTTCGTTTTCATATTCATGCTATTTATAACTTACTTTTGAAACAACAGTTTATGTGAAAGAGAAAAAGAAAAAAATTTTTTTGAACATTTCACAGTAGTGGTGTAGGGCATTCAAACTGATGGGTCCTTTACCTACCTACTCATAATATTTTCTAATATTATTCAGTTAATATAAATTTTTAAATTAAAAGAATATTTTGCTTATTTTATCTTCTTTTCATGCCTACGTTTAATTACTATGCGCCGCCTTGCTTCTCTCACTCTGTTTGCCGGTTACGGATGTGTGCACATTGCAGCCTATCATTATTCTGGTCTGCTGGATGGTTTTTATCGTAATAAATCGTATCATTATCCTTATTTATAATTTATCCATAATTTAGTGTAAATAATTATGTAACATTATGTATTAAATTAATAACAAATTCTTAGAGCGAGTGTTTAGCTTTAGTATTAAATAATATTAAAAATTAATTTAAGTTAAAGATTAATAAAAAAAAATAAAAAAATAAAAAAAATAAAAATTATTTTTAAACATTTTTTTTTTCTTCTCCGTTAAAGATTAAATTTTTTTCTTATGTTGTTTATTAATAATTAGAAAAGCAGGTGGATAGGAGGAAATAATAATTCTACAATTTAAAAACAATAAATTTTTGTATATAATTAAGAAAAAGTAAAAAAATGTATAATTTTTTAATTATAAAAAAATAAATTTATTCCTTTGCTTAATTTTCATTAAGTTATATTCTTTTCTTTCATATTTTTTACCCCTTTTCAATTTAATATTCAATTTAGTAATGTAAATGTTATTTATATTAATTTATTTACTTAATTATGAATTTGTTAATTCTTATTGTTTTTCTTTGATATAATTTAAAAGTTATGTAATTTGATTGATGGGCTATATTTTCATGATATTCATTGCCTGCTATGTAGACTGATATGATAATTTTATTTATATTACTTGTTATTATTATTATTATTATTATTATTATTATTATTATTATTATTACTATTATTATACGTAATAATCCAGAATCCCTTATGAAGCGAGAACAAAAAGTTTTTTATATAGATGCTCCTCCTATCTCGTTAACAATGTTGCCATATAAATTTTTACTTGGCCGATATAGAGTTATTCTAGTACACTGTACTTATCATTTCTCCTGTAATGAATTCGGGAAAACAGATCAAATTAACCAAAATTAACCAATTACCGTAAAACCTTTCAATTTTTATTACTGAACAGAGATTCTATATTCTTGACCATCATAAAAATTTAAATAGTTGCAAAAGTTCAAAATCAAAGTCACAAAATTTGATCGCCGCATTCTTGTTTCACCGATAACAAGAGAAGAAAATTTTGCAAATACTTTTGTAAATAATTTTAAAAATCTACAACGGATATCGATCGATTAAGGGCCAAGTAAAAATTCGATCTCAGCCTGAGAAAAAGTGAAAAGAAAAGCTTTAGTTAAGATGTTCATAAAATTGGCTTCAGATGGAAGCTGCTACTCAAGGATCCATACCAAAGTGATTATGATGTTCTTCTTCTTATACGAAACGCGAAAAGGATGAAAATTTTTGCAAAAAACTAAAGACAGTATGTGTTTAGTGAATATCGAAGTCAATCGAATTCAAGCCTAAATTATTTTTTCCTTTTTTTTTTTTTTTTTCTTCAATTTTAAAAAATTAATTTGTCGAAACTTTATCCAATTCTAAAGCCTGCTTAAAAAATGTATTTAATTTTATGTAATAAAATATATATAATTATATAAACAAAATGTACCTTAACGAATTAAGAATAATAAAAAAAAAAGAGTTTTCCACACTCCTGCTGTTGTAATTTAAAACGAAATTTCTTGATAAAAAAAAAACAAAAAAAGGAAAAAAAAAAAAAAGAACAACCAAAAAACCTTGTATTTAAATTTAATGAAACATGTTTGTTTTTTTGTAATAAAATATAAAATATAAAAATTACTGTGACTGAGACTTAAAAAATTAATTAATAAAAAAAACTATATAAAGAAAATTAGAATTATTGTTATTTTCTTTTATTTTACTCTGCTATTATTTAATGTGTTAAAATTAATAAAATTAAATAGATTGATTTTTTATTTTTGCAATAATTTTTCGTCTTTTTTTCACCAAGTTCCGCTCGATTTAATTAATTGAACGTGTGAGTTCGAACTGATTTATAGAAAAATAATTAATAAATTAAGTTTATAGTCTGTGTGATATAAATAATTAAAGCTAAAATGAATACAAAATGATTATTCTGCATACAAATAAAAATAGTTTATAAAATTTGTTTTTCCCCCTCCAAGTGATAAATAGTGTAAGTCACATCATGTTAAGAATTTGTTTTTATTTATTTATTTATTTGTTTTTTTTTTTTCAATGTTTTAATAAATCAAATCATTTTAGGGAATGCTCTCTTATTTATTATTTACATTGTAACGAAAAAGACGACGACGGGGTAAACAATGTACTTGTGATTTTCTATAGCAACTCAGGACTTAACGAAGCATGATTATCTATTTACGACTAAATCGGTTATACTTTAAAATTTCATTTCAATTATTTTCAAGTATAATGAAAAAACAATAAAAAAAAAATTATTACATATTTTTTTTTTTTTTTGTTTAATCCGTTAGGGAGAAAAATATGAAATGAAGTGAAATAAAGCGTTTTGTTTCGTTCTTCGGTAGAACCTCTTTTTGGCGATAGTTAGTGCAAACACTGAATCAGTGAATCGAAGAAAACAATAGTTTTTGAAAATCTAGACTCGTAAATAGCAATAGTGCGATCTATTAGTAGCTAACGTTATTTCCCTTAGTGGGCGCGCCTAAGGTTTTAACAATTTTCTTACTTACATTCATCGAAATGCAAATTAAAGAGTATTTGTATTTAAATTAATTGTTCGATTCAAAAATGAATTGAACTAACGTATTTTTTTGAGATATACGGGATTTTGCGAAAATTTATTTATGATATGAATAAAATAGGGCAACTTTTTTGATGTTCCCTTCTTCAATGGAGTTCAGCTAAGCAAATATATAGTATAAGGTAGGTAAGGCTGCGGTATTTACTAAAATATTTAATAAAAAATTTTGATTCATTTCCCAATTGGATATGATCGAAAAGTTTGAATGTTAAAAAGTTTTCAAAACGATTGTTACGACTGTGTATAGATGAAATTCCATTGAGAAAAGAAGGCAAACCGGTTTATCTTGTTTATATTACACTTACGTAGATTATTAAGTGCTTATTAAGTAATTTTCGTTTGATTAATTGATTAAAAAAGTATATGATGGAAACTCTTCGATTCACACTTGATCGAAGAGTTCAGCTTACGTGCTTATATATTTAATAAAGAACACTTAACGTAATGCCTGCATTAAGGTCAGTTTAGGATCGAATCGAAAATGTTGATCGTATTATATGAAACGCTCTTACAATTATTGATCGCAACATGATTGATTGCTCAATTGTTTATATAAAAACTTTTTCTGTTCGATAATGCAGCCTAAAAATCCTTACGTGAAATACTATGTTATGGGAATTTTTAGTTCATTTCTCGATTGAGAGAGAGAGAGAGAGAGAGAGAGAGAGAGAGAACTTCATCGAAAATTAAAATTATATAAACATATATATATGTAATAATAAATAGGGATAAGAGTTTAAAATTAATGCCTCGATGAAGTTCGATTTAGGATTCATAGAAACATTTCAGTTCTTTTACAAAATGTGCTATTTCGGTCCAATCTTAAAAGTTGCTTTTCAAGGCTTTCGTAAAAGTTAATATTTTTTTTTAATTTTTTTTTTTTTATGAAAAGAAAGAAATAAGAGATAAAATTTTGTTTATAAAAAAACTATGAAAACGATAACTAATAAATACTGTGCTAGTTAAACTTTTTTAACTATAAATACAAAAACAAAAAAAAAGTTTCAACATTAACAACGTCTACTGCCCAAAATGAAGATTTTTAAAAAAAAAAAAAAAAAGAAAAGAAAAGAAAAACAATTTAATATATAAGTTAAAAACTGCAAAACAATGAAAAAATATATACTAGCGGAACAAAGTAATTACTGAAAAAACAAAAAACAAAGATATTAATAAAATAAAAAATTTATGAAAAAAATGAATTATTATATATAAAAATGAACGACGTGGGGATAAAGAAAAAAAAAAATTATATTTACTTAAATAACTGTAACAATAAAAACAACACACAACGTACACACAAACACACATACACGAGCACATATATGTATATATATCTACATATTTGTTTTTGGGTAATATATGATATATATATACATATATCCATATATATATATATATATATATATATATATATATGTGTGTGTGTGTATGTTTGTGTACTATTGGATAACAAAACATGTAAACGAATTTTTAACAAAACTTAAAATTAGTTAAAAGGAAATATAAAAAGTGATTCGAATCAATTATGTGAGAAAACAAGTATTTGATTATAATATATAGGAAACACATACACCACTACAATAATAACAATAAATAAATAATAGTTTAATTTTTCTGATCCATAATAAAATATTTAATATTAATTAAATTAATCGGATATATGTTAATTAGCTGCTAATTGTTGTTATTATATATACATTAATTAATGTTCGAAACATATACATAACATACATATATAATACATCTGCACACGTACGTGGAAACAACACCATACATCCACACACACATATGTATTATCATACATACATGTGCATATTTTGCGTATGTGTGTGTGTGTGTGTGTGTGTACATAAACAAATACAAGCTAGCATGCGCCTACATTCCATACGTAGCAATTAAGACCTGATTTGAAATACCCACCACCCAGAGCGCACTTAATATGAATGAAATATTCCTTGAAACTTTTCGGATTTCGACAGTTTGTTAATCATCTTTATGTAATACGCAATACGTTACTTCTTTCATTTCTACGGCTAAAGGAAAGGCCGCCTACATGTAAATGTGAAAATCGAAGAAATTGAAGACCAAGAGAAACATTTCGTTGCAGTTTCGAGGACGCTATTTATAGTTCGAAAAGTATATTTGAAATGTAAACATTTTTTCGCTTTCAGACCGTCTTTGTTTCTCTGTTTCGAAATGACTTTTTACATTTATTTATTTGTTATGTTTTAACGGCAAACTCTCTAGCGACTCGCAAATGAACATCATTCGTGTTAAGTTTAATTGTAAGGCTTTCAATCGAATTAATCAAAACTTATTGTTTTTGTAGCTTAGACCTTATCCTCCCTGATGATGATTTTCCTTGAGATCAGATTTTCCTAATGGCAGTCATTTAGGATTTACTATATTGTTTTTGTACATTGATGATCACCTTTCACTAATAAACTGCAACTCCATCTCTTAGTGTACGCCGATGATGTAAAAACTGTTTTTCTTTAACTTGATATCGTACCTCTTCCATCTCGCGTCAACGTGATTTCAAAAGTCTGACTGCCATTGTGCCCAAGTCCAAAAA